GCATGCGAGCCCGCCCAGCGGGGGCTCTCGGGCCGGTGTGCACCCTCAGAGCCAGCCTGGAAAGGCGTGTGCACGGGTGCCGTAAGGGTCCACGGGAGGGGAGGGTGCACCTGGGTGAGGGTAGCAGTGCCCGTGGGGGTGGGCAGGTTCGATTTGCCCCGGTAATGTGTTTAACGTCTCCCTAGGCGTTTGCACCCTTGGGTGTTACGCAGGTGCAAAAGGGTGGTTTTGCATGTGTGCCGGCCACACGCTGGGATGTCTGTACCCAAAGGGAGGTGACTTGTGCTTGTGCACATACGCGTTCACATCCAGGTTGGCAACTGTCTGGCTGGTGGGAGCGATCCCAATCCTGCCTTGGATCTCCAGAGCAGGTGCTAGACTCTAACCTGTTCTTTGGCACAGAGCAAGTTAAGATGTTTAAGTTTGCATTTTATAGCATCCCCAGATAAGGAGAGAGAACGAATGCTCTAGGATGGAATGGGAAGAGAAGAAATTTTCTTTTTTTGAGGAAGGAGGAGGCATGGCTTCCCTTTACCACTGATAGGAGTGCTGGAAAGCTGATTTCCCTCTGTGTCTGTGTTGTGTGTCCCCCCTGTCGTCGTGTGTCGTCCCCCCCCCACCCCCGGATATTCTAGCTCATTTATCTTGCTCTGTGCCATAAGCCATTCCGTCCACAATCAAGAACTTCAGAAGGCTATTAAATTAAAGCTGCATGTGTTTCTGACAAGGATAGCAGAGGCGGGAGAGGGCCTGGCAGCCACGGGGACACAAAGGCTCTGGGTATCACGGGACAAGCCACGAAAGGCTCTAGTATCTAGACCTTTTGGGCTTTCATCTTGGGGTGGGGGCAGGCAGCAGGCTGCAATATTAGTTCTACAGCAGGCGTATGCATGTGTTGGGTTCAGAGTCGTTGTTCCCCCCGCCCCGTATTTATGGCCTTGGAGATCCTGTCTGGTTTTCCTTCTTTCTGACCAATGGGTTTGCAATGTGTAGGGGCTGGGCAGACCTGGTAAGCCCTTCTCCTACAGGGCGTAGTTTGTAAAATCCAACCCAGTCCACGTGGATTGTAGGCAGACCTGTGGGGAATGCAGAGATAGACGAGTTTCAGTGCAGTCAGTCATCAGGAAAATTTCTCCAGCTATGTGTGGCCTGGAGAAGTGCCAGGCCAGCCGGAGGCCTGGCTGAAAAGGCACGTACGGAAGGGTGGAGGTTGGTTACGGGGAGGTGCTGTGCATAGGAGGGGCAAACTGAAAATGAATTAGATGTGTATCAAATCCAGAGGTACTTGCCGCTGCCAGACAGGTGTTCTAGCTAATGGAGGTGGTCTAGGCCAGGAAGTGTTAAATCGTTTGCGAAGAGGGCGTTATCTGGCAGTTTAAGCAGAGGACTGGAGTTAGGGCGGGTGTTTCTCCCCAGTTATGGGAGGGAGAGAGAAGTTACTCGCTAGCTCAGGGGACAGAGGCTGAAGGCCAGGAGTTATGGTTGTAAAAGACCGCTACTTTTCATCTTGATTCAGTTCTCCGAGTAGCCCTATGTGTAGTTGCATCGGCATAAGTGAGAGGGAAATCCTGGCGAGGTGAGGTGAGGGAAAGAAACACATAGGGGCACAGCCTGCCTTTGATGTTGAGAGAAGTATCTGTGGGACCTTGGATGAAGTTTGCAGGAGTCGCTGTGTGTCTCGGTTTCCCTTGCTGCGCGGTGACAGTGGTTCTCACTTTGAAAGCAGGTTGTACTCAATGTTTGGGAAGGCCTTTGAGTACCTCAGTTCAAAGAGCAAGTATAATGTGGCATGTTGCGCAGAGCAAGGATATTTGCACCCACTTGTAAAGGTCTAGTTATTTGCCTATAAGCAAGACCAGCCTGTGGCTGTGTTGGTGGGAACAAAACAAAGAAGCTGTCTTTTTCTCTGTGAGACTCTCTAGTCTCGTTTCTGTCCAAGAGTTTGCGCACTGAAACAAGGCTCATAGCATGTTATCAGCCCTGGTTTTGTTTTCCCACACTGCTCCCACCTCGGAGCGTACACAGAGGACCTGCTCTAAATGCCTGTGCAGCTAGAGTAGCTCTCCGAGGAGCTTTGAGACAAACCACGTGGAACGTCACCACGGTGGGCCTGGATGGGCACGTCCCGTGCTTCCTTCTACCGCCATGCCAAGGCATGGCCGACCAGACTGCCTGTTTTTTCTGCAGCCATCCGCTCCCACAAGGAGGGTGTGAGAAGGCCCTGTGTGGCCTGCCTCCTTGGCCAGGCTCTCGGGTGTGCTAATCCTCGGTTAGCAGAGCTGGGGAGTCCTGCTGGGAAACGGGAAGCTACAACTACGCCCCGTAGTCATGAGACTTGGTAAGTCTGCTAGACATTAGTTCACGTGATCATTATTTCTCCCCAGAGGTCCGCAGCCACCTGAGTGTCACTAAGGGTCAGCACGTATCACTCTGCTCCCACTCAAAAATGGCCTGGTTGGAGCTGTCACGTGCAAACCGTTTCTTGCTGTTTCGCCAAAGCACCACGGGCGTTTTTAGGTATGCCAGGAGAAGCCGTGCCATTTATTCTAAAGCAGTAGAGCACTGTATGGGTTAATTTCTCCCATTTTCCCTGTTGCTTGGGAGCATGGTGTTGTTGGGTTTTGTACTTGGCTGCTATGGTCTTTGTCAACAGGGTAAATCAAAGCAGCCTCTGTGCACCTTTATTGTGAAGGTATAGAAATTTTAAAAGGTTCAGGTAGGCACTGACAGAGGAGAAGGCGATGGAGAAGCTGGCTCACGTACGTCGGCAAACTGTAGGTAGATTTACGGCATCTCCTTTCCCAGGAGCAGAAGTAATAACGCATGATGCAGGGGGATGTGAACTGTTTGGCATGGTGTTAAAATTCCATTTCAGCTTCCTATCGGGAGATCTGTGGGGATCAGGTCAGCTCTCAAGTGCAGCAGCTTTGTGGGCAAGAATAATTAGCCACTCCAGACTTCAGCCACAATGCCTCGCAAAGCAAGGGGGGAAAACCCATATTGGTGACCCAGTTTTATTTATCGGGGTAGTGCTGCTGTTTTTGCAAAGACAGGAATGCAGAGACCTGTGCCTGCTAGTGGGAACTATGTATACAGTTTTCCAGTTTCCAGGTGTGAAGAGGTGGGTGATGAGCCTGAGCTAGGGAACACTTGGGGAGATAGGTATGTTCAGACATTTGTCAATGCATCCATCTTTGCTGGTCAGAAACAGGCTGGTAGGTTTAATGATACTAAGCCCAAGGCAGGCAGGTGGGTACTGGCTCTGAAGGGGATGATACACACACGTGGGCACACAGACACCCTGAATAGGGGTTTTCTCGGACTAGCTTCCGAGGTCCTTTTAGCGGAATAACGGTCCCTTTACCTCTTTGCTCCAGCTTCCTCATCTGTCGAAATGAGTTAGTAAAACTGGTATGCCTTGCCAGAAGTAGACTCAAGCTGCAGGCTTGAGAATCCGTTTGGTTTCATGGTTTTGGTTTCCTAGATCCTTCTCTAGATTGATTCAGACTTGGATTATAGAGCACCAGGACCTGGTGGTTTGCTTGAAAAGATTGTTGAGTTCAGTGTTATAAAAAGACTTGGAAGAGGAAGGGGTACAACTAAAAGGTGTCATTGCAACTACTCCAGCCTGGAGTACTTCCCATCTCCAAACTGCTCTGTCTCCTGCAAAAATGGCAGGTGGCTGTGCCCTGCAGAGATGCAGAGTTGCTTGGATCCTGCTCCTTGGATCCTGCCTCCAAAATTTGTTGGCAATGTACTTGGTTTTGCTGGGGTCGTTTAGCCTGGCATGTTCTTACCCAGGGTGCTCATCTCCTGGTACACGCTGCAGAAACCACTCCTGATTGTACTCTTGAGCTGAGCAGACTGCTTCTCACAGAGCAGGCTAGTGTGTGTGAAGCCTAGGGAACGCTTGCATTCACCCCCCTTTAGGGAAAAACTTTTATACCCTGCAAATGGAAGGGATTGCAGAGGTCCTCAGACTAGGCTGGACGAGCTGCTTAATAGTGTGATTAGTGTGGTGAAGCTTGCTGGCTAAATATGATGCATCAGTTCTGTGTTATGAGTTCCTAGGAGCCTGTGCACGTGTACAGTATATGGCATGGGGTCTGTGTGGGAGAACCTGCTTCTCTCTCACATGAGGGGAAGAAGGCAGATTATAGTCAGAGAAAGGGCAAGTGTTGAGGCAGATGCTTTGGTAGTAGCATTCAGCTGTCCCTGGTACTGTCTATAAGAAGCACTAGGGACACAAGTCATCTTCCAGGACCATAGACAATTATGGGGTGAAGGCAGGAGGAATGCCAAGGAGCAAGAAATACTGCCTGCGTGAGATGCCATCAGCATCCTGATCTGCTGGGGTCCTGGGAAGCCGAGCCCTTTGGCTAGAGTGTTCTGGGAGTGGGAGCCGCAGGGTCTCAAAGATGCACTCATTGCCCTTCCGTTGCAGTAAGCTGACAAACATTATGCATCAGCCAGAGGCCTTTCTCTGTACAAAGATGTGCCTGAAATACCCAGCAAGGATTTTTGGATGGGGTTCTTTCCATCTGATGTTGCTACCATTTTTTCTTTCGCCACCTGATTCCTCCCCCCTGCACCGCGGAGGCTTTCCTTTTCACTCCTGTGCTCCTTGGGCACATTCTCCTGTCCTCTCTGGACACGTTCTCTCTCCTACTCTTACCTATTCCAGCCTCGCATCCCCCTCTCTGCTCTGAATGCTGTATCCCTCTTTCTCTGATTTTTGCACTGGGAGAGCTCCTCCCCAGATCCCAGCTGGCTGAATGTTATGCAGAGCAAAGGCCAAAGAGCTTGACCTGATTTAACTAATTTGGTTTTAGCACTGGTTTGGATTTTGAGGGAGCAATTTCCCCTGGCAGCATAAACCAGATCCTCTCTGTGTCCAGGCCTCATTGCTACCCTAGAAGGGCAGCGCCAGTACGTGTCTCTTTCTGCCTGGAAATCCCAAACACCATTTTTAGAAAGCCCTTTCATTTTATTTATTTTCCGTTCCTGGCACAGACAGTGTCTGCGGATGGCGAACCAGCAAGGAGCTGAGCACTGCTTGCCTATTACCTCAGGTTTAAAGTGTCTCTTCCTATCAAATGTAAAGCAGAAGAAAGCAGAGCTTTCATGCATTCTTTTTTTTCCCCTCTGCCATCCGTTCTAAATTTATTTCCATGCCTTGCCGGTTTCAATCTGCATTTCCTGACCCTCTCACATCTCCAGTCACACACAGCCTGTGCTCCGAGCCTTCCTTTTGAGCTTGGAGTGAGTCAGGGGGAATCACAGCTCTGGGCTTGGGAGGATATGATGGGGTTAAAGCGAAAGGCTTGGTTTTAACAGTATAATGTGTAACCCCATAATGACTTTAAATATTGATTATTTGAAGGCCATTAGTGCTTATTGTTAAAGAAAAGTCGATACTTTTTAAGCCTCGTGAACCATTTGTCTCCTGTTAAAGGACATATCAAATTTAGCAGCATGCAGTGCAAATCCCCTAATACCCTGCTCACAAGCCTCCAGCTGGCATATTAGGGGGAAAAAAAAAGAGGGTGGGGGAAAGAATATGCAGTAACACAGAACTGCTCTCTGCATGGTAAGGTTGTCCTTAAGGCTTATCAGATGTAATTGCCAAGGGCTAAATTCACATTCTCAGAGTATGAAACTGTAATTCAGCCCTTACTCTGAGAGGTAGAAGAGGAGGAGGAAGGAAATTAATGGGGGGGTTGAAGGCTGATACGTACCTGAGAAAGGATGCAAGGATTTGTGTTTTGGTGCACGTCTGTCTAAAAGCACAGTAGCCTTTGTTAAGGTCTCTGGGGCTTTTTACTCCGGGGTTGCCAGTTCATTTCCGAGCTTGCCTGGAAGCAATTGCCTGTATCTGTACTAGGCAGCCTGGGAGGGCTTCCCAGCTCTGTGCCAGGACACAACCTGGTCATACTCCCTCCCTCCTGTGCCAGGTTTCCATGCCAAGGATCAGGCAGATGGGCTGGAAGGGAGCAGTGGCAGGCTTCAACAGGTTCCCCGCCTGGACGGCCAGGAGGCTGGGTTTGTGGGACGGCAGAAAGCGTCTGTCCTTCGTGTGAATCACTGCTCCTCGGGGGCTCTGCAGCGTGAGCTAGGGAGTATCAGTGTGCTTGCAGGGAGAAGAGTCCCTTGCACCCAAATATTTGTGAGCATACCTGCTTTCTTTCTAAGTTACCTACTGCTGGGGACTGACGCTGAGCGTTAGGGGGATGGCAGGAGAGGTGCAATGACTCCTTGTTTGGCCATATGCAGCCTCCCTTCTCTGACTCCAAGCCACAGACTCCATGGGTGTAACGGTGCCAGTCGCGGGACCTTTGGTTGGTCCTGTTTATCTGGCCTCACCCAGCAGCTTTGCCCTATGTGCATGTTTGGTGAGGAGCTCCAGTGTTGCTGAGACGTGGGGTGTCCGTGTGGTCTGCTGTGTCAGGCAGGCATGATGACAGCATGTGTAAACGTGTCTCCCTGAATTTTCTAAACCTTTGGACTCATCCCCAGCATGTGTTGTGCGTGTAACATAAGCAGCGACTGACCTCTCACGTTCGAAGTCGCTCCTGATGTGTTTCTTACAGCCCCTCTTACAACTACCTCCAGCCCCTTCCCAGCCACTGCAGGCTGCTGTGCTCAGCCGTGTGCGTGGCAGCGTGATCAGGTCCCGCAGCAATTGCTTTGTCCCGCCATCCCCCCTTCCCCAGCCGGGGCACCGCTCGCTGGCCAGTCTGAAGAATGAGTTGATCCCTGGCCCCGAAAGGCGGGGGAGCGGCACAGCTCTGACGAGAGGACAGAGGGAATGAAGTGCAGGGTCTTGAGCAGATGCGAGTTCCTTAGGGATCAAAGTTAGGCCCTGTAGTGCAACATTAAAGCATAAAAATAGCCTCTGATTAACATTGGGCTGCCACCAAAGGGACAACCTTTTATTTTCCAGTGTCCAGTCCTGATCCCCATCAAACAGTATGCTTTCTGGGCACAGGTTGTCTCTTCTTGGCCGAAATCAGGAAGCTCTCTTTGTTTTTAGCATTTCCTTCTGAACTCTCTGTGTGCAGCCTGCACCTGGGGCTTCTGTGCATTGTTACCTCTCGTACAGGATCCCCTTTTCTGCATTTGTAAAAGGCAGGGAGGGCATGGCCACCGCTCGCCTGGCCACGGAATGGTTAAAAGCGACTTGATTTCCTAAATTGCTTCTTATAAAACGAACAGCACGTCTGCCAGGCTCGTCTCCCCATGATTACAGCTAATTACGATCGAACGGACACCTCCTAGCCCCCGTCATGCCGCTTTAATTGTCCGTTATTCATCTGCAGGCTGTCCGGGGTGGCAAAGCACTTGGCAGCCCAGCGACCGAGGCCTCGGCTAATTGTGAGGCCTCGGGGATTAGGGCAGGTGATTACACACTTCATGGTGTAATTACATAAGCATCGCTTGGCTGCCGCCCCGGCTCTGAGCCGAAGGTCACGCGCTGCGTTACCTGAGATTAATTGGAGCTGCCACTGAAGTGCGAGGTGCTGGCGGAGCGGTTATACGATTAGCATTAACATTTCAACAGCGACGGATCGATCTGTGGCTCTCCTCCAGACACAGCGAGCTGTGCAATTAGTTTAGAGGAGAGCTAGGGGAGGAAGGAGGAGGAAAGGAGAGACGGAGACAGCCAGGGGAAGGGGAGAAGGGGAGCAGAGACAGACGGGAAGGGGGGAGGCAGAGACAGGCAGATGGGCACGGGGTAGGGAGAAGGAGGCATTTCGGAGGGGAATCTCAGCCCGTCCTGTGCTGTGGATCCGTGCGTGGCAGTGTTTGTAGTGGCTGTTGCATAGAATGAGGATAAAACTACGCTGGGAAGATCTAGGGAAAGGACAGGAATCCTTTCCTTGCCCACCTTGTCCCCAAAGAGTCCTTGTCTGGCTTTTCATGAGCCATGGTGGTAATCCATCCCCGGCTGTGTGGGATGGGGGCATGGATGGCTGGGATTCTCGCGTTATCCCACGCTCGCACGTCATCCCCCCACTGAAAGGGGGAGCATGGCTGTGCGTATGGTCTGTTTGTTGCAAAGTCACATGCACCTTCTTGCTCCCTTTCTCTTGCCCTCCAGTCTCTCCTGAAGCAGATTTTATAGGGAGATATTGTAAAATGAAAATAAACGGCACAGCACTTGGCTTTGCCTCTAGATGCCCTGGTGAAAGTAATAATGTTGTAAGTGGCCATCAAAAGGAATTAAGAGACACGCAGCCGGAAAGCAGAGATTTGCTTTCAGGCTCCCAGGGCAGATTTGACTAATGGAAGAGACCTTGGCTCTTACTCCCTTCCTGCTTTTTTTTTTTTTTCCCCTTC